TGTTCAGCCTAGAGTGCCATGAAGGAAGAATTCCCTCCCCCATGCCACCAAGCCCCGTTTCGTGTGGGTACCTACTGGATTCTTCCGACCTGTTGCAAGTGACTGTTTGGCCCATAGCAAAGGTCATTACCTGGCAGAAGTTGTAGGCAGATAAGTCAGTCATGGGGAGAAAGTAATTTAAAATTTTCCCAGCTGTTGTACCTACATCCAACATTTTGAATGCAGCTTGAACTCTTAAATGTAAGAAACGTGAAGCACTCTTTTCCTTCTTAGCCCGTGTCTGTCTCTTTGGTATTAGCCTGCTGTTCACTCATGACAAGGCCTCCGGCAGCTTCTGTCATACCATTCCTGATTTACAGTGGCTCACCTAGCCTTCTCACCCCCCTTCTTGGAGTCTAATCATAGCTATTTGTATCACTTTCATAGCCCTGTTTTGTGTCCTGTCTTGCTACATCATATTTTCAAGCACAGACCCAGTCTGAAGAGTACCTGGAAGAAAAACTGTGCACCTGTCCCCAGATCTTTGGCTGCTGCAAACTGGTAAAGGAATCCAGGACACTTAACACTGGCCAAAGTAGTGGGCCAAAAGTTTGAAGCTGAAAGGTTGTATATCTGAGAGCTGCAGCAGCTGCCTTAGTGCTTGTAATAATGACTCAGCTGTACAGGTGAAGCCAGCAGGACACAGGACAGAAACCTGGGGGTCTGGAGGCCAGAATGATAAACCGTGCAATGGGGAGCCAGTGGGAAAACCGGGGATTTTTCCATAAACATTTTTTTCATAAAATGCACAGAGGAAGAAACTGGGCGTTAAGCTGTGCTTAAAATGGCAAAGGCATCTCACATGCTGGCCTCTCCTTGGAAAGGAGACGAGGAGCATTGAGTCCTGGCATGGTACTGTAGGTATGACAGAGCTATTATAAGAGGACAGGTATTTCATCTTCTAAAAGCAGCTTCTGTCAGTCATCCGAGCACATGAGGCAGAGTGGGTAGGGACCCAGAGCCACAGGTTCAAGGACTTCTTGTTTTCCCCGAGCTTAGAGCCCATGTGATTTTGGCACCCGGGCTGTGACCTAGCAGCAGACTGCAGCTGAGGATCTCCCACCGCCCTGCCAACCCCCGGCTGGTTACTCCCTCCTATGCAGCACCTCACCTCTCTCCTTCTGCCAGTCTTCCCTTGTGCCAGATGCCACAGCCGGCATCCTCTGTGAACAGCAGTCCAGTGTGTGCCCACGAGCTGCAGGGCTGGGGTTGCCACGTCCCTGTCAGATGGGTTGGAGAACTGGATCTTGAGAAGTTTGTCTTCTGCCAGGGGAGGAGGCATCAGGTCTTGTCCTCTTTCCCTGAGGGAGGGGTTGCTTCCAGTGCTGTGAAGCTTCAGTTTGGGATACTCTTGGACACATGTAGAGGTGGAGTCATGCCAGTGTACTGGCATCCCTTGTAAGGGTGGGGGGGACAAGTGAGAAACTTCTCTTGAGTTCCACATGACAATGTAGTTTAACAGAACCAAGGCAACGAGTGGAGGGGAGGAATCTGCAGTTTAATGTTGCTCTTGACCTGGTGAAAACCACTAGCAGCTCAGGACACGTTTTCCATAATTTTGCAAACTCTTTCCCCTTCTCCTTCCTGCTGTTTTGCTTGCAATGTTCTTCAGGTTGGTGTATTTTGACATATTTCTTCCGCTGCACATGTCTAGTGAAGCACAAGGATGTTTAGTGCCTGTTGGATAATGTATTTCTTGATAGGTTTGCAGATACTTTTATGTATAGATGCATGCACCGAGGGCTACACTTTGGTTGGCAAATAGGGCTTCCTAAGGTGCTCACCACTTCAGATTGCATTGGATTGGCGGGCAGAGAGGCTGTCTCAAGCTACCTGAATTACCTTCATGATGTTTCTTGACGTTCTCACATGCTTTGCTTGTGCCATGTCTGCCAGATGAAGTACAGGAGCACTGCACAGCCCAGGGCACGAGAAAGCACTCTGCACTTCCTAGAAAAGGCAGACAGACCCTAGGGACCATGAGAGCAGTCACAGCCTAATGTAGTTCTTTAGTTGACCAGGTCTTAAAAAAGTGACATCGAACTAGGTGGGGGGTTGCATGCTGTGAACTCATGACAAATGCTGTGGGTTCTGATGAGATGTCCTATAGCAACTAACCAGCTTTTTTAAAAGTTCCTGGGACAGGCTTTGGCAAGTTATCTCCTGGCAAAGAGTCTCTGGAAGAAAAATCATGAATCCACAAACTGGTGACTAAACAAGCCACATGAGGACGGGTGCTTACTACAGCTTGAGTGGTTAGTGCAGTGGAGAGCAGTCCCGTAGCATATGGGGCAAGGGGACTGAGAAAAACCACAAATAGAGCTGTGCTGAGACAGGTTTTGGAGCTGAGTAGCAGAGATCTGGGCATTTATGAGACTCAGGGCTAGTCTCATGGTGTGACATAAAGAGGAGTAGGATCAGACCATGATGGTAGGTAGTAAAGCTAGAAAATGGTTGGAGGAGGGATGCTGTGATGGTCTGTATTTCTATGAATGCATTCATCTCTTAAAGTAACTAATAAAGGGGGACAGTTCTGTTGAATTTTAATTCTAAGACCAGAGGTGTATGATAGACTGCATGGTGCATTGCATACACAGAGCCCGATTAGTCATCTTGCTTACTGGATTGCCAGGAAGGAAGTCACTTTCATGATGCTGCATCTTTCCATTCTCTTTATTCCGTGTTCTTCAGTTTTGCTTTTCCCATGCTCAACAGTTTTTTCCTTCCATTTCCTGTAATTTTTATCTTTGTTTTTCTCCGTTTTTACAAGATGGAGTAGAGTCTGGCTGCAATAGTTTCTTAGCTTAGTTGTGACTCAGGAGGTACATAGTTTTTCCCTGGAACTTAAATAAGACTCCATTTCATTTAGTTTTATTTTAGTTATTGCTTTGCATTTAAAGGTTTCTGTGGCTTTTATGTTTGGTTTGGGGAGAGGTTTGTGTCTCAGGAGAGTTGATCTTGAACTGACATAGAAAAAAAAAATCTGTTGACTTTTTGGTCACATGCATTGTTTTTGCTTGCAGGAGCATTCATTTGGCTTCCTGCTAGTCATCCTTTTCCAAAGCATTTTGAAGGTTTCTCATTGTTGTCAAATCATGGCTGATACCATTTGTGTGCAATAGACTATATCTCAGAGAAGTGATTCCCTGTACTTTCATCAGTGTTGCAGATTAGTTATTAACTTCTTGCTTGTGCAGATCATTTTGAAAACACCTAGGAGCTAAAATTTTCTTGGACTACATTAATTGTTCCAATTGCCATTTGAATCCTTGAATTTAGTTCGACATATTTAGATGACAAAAACCACCAGCTTTCATGCTGTTGCTGGTCTTGGACAGTTACAGTTGCCAGAAGAAACTGAAGTGAAATTACATTATTACCAATTAGATTATTACATTGTATGACCAGTGTAGTTAGAATTTTAGATTTTGCAGTTTATTCCAGAGAAGGATGTATTCAGGTACCTTAGATACAATTCTTTGTATTTCTTATACACACTGCCTTTAATGCAAGGGAGTAAAACTGTGAGCAACAGGTCCTCTGTTCACAGCACTACATCTCCTGTGGTCTTCGGCTGCAAACGTGAACGCTTAGCTCTTCCTAGAGTTAAATGCCTTGTGCAAGACTCCCATAAAATTGACAAGCGCATAACTTACAGCCAGCTGTAAAATCAAATGACTTCTAAGTCATCACATGGTATCACCATAGGAACGCTGCATGTCTGACTAGCTTCAGAGATCCATCGGTGACTCGAGCTGTCGTCTCTGAGCCACTGGCTCAGTCCTGCTAACAGCACGCTCATGTTCTTTACTGCTCTATCTTTCAGCCTGCCCAAAGATCCATGTTAGACTGTTACCAATACCCAGGTGAGCTAGTGTGAAATTAGCTCATGCCCGTGAACTCATGCACAAAAGATGCAGCTGCAGCACACACATCCTGTCTGGAACAGAGGCAGGAATAGCATCCATTTCCTCAAGGTTTCCTATGCTCCTCTGTGGTAAATAATCCCAGCATTTTGTTCTGCAAAAATCTGTCACATCCAGAGAGTAAATCCATCCTGTATCCTAAATAAAGGCAAGGCCTTGCACAATACAGCAAGGTCAGATCAAAATAATACCGGACTATGTAATTTAAGACTGTCATGAAATGTATGAGCAAGGGGACTGAGGTAAAGTCACATAACCCATCTTCTGGTATTTCCTAACTTCAGGCTCCTTCATTGTGCAACCTTAATGATACTTTTTTTTTTTTTTTTTGGATTTGTGCCTATAATACTTAGGTGAATTGAAGGGTAAGGGCAAAAGAGATAAGAGCTAATAAGAAAAAGATAGAGTTCAATAAACTAATTTTTAAAAGCAGATAATTTAGCTATATACTTTGAAGCAACTTGGTTTTGTAAAGGCCAGGATGTGAAGGGCGAAGACCTGAGTAACCTCGTGGGAGAAGGGGCAAAAGTACAAAGGTATTTTCAGCTCAAGGCAAGACAAATTACAGAGGACTGAACTTTGGTTCCCAGCCCAGAACAGAAAGCCATCACAGCAGACTACAGAGTGGGATGGTCCCTTAAAAATAACAGACTAAAATCAGGGAAACTTTGTTTATTCTTATTACATGTACATAGGCTGTATAAATCTGCTTCTGTGAACAGACTCCACCTCTGGTCATTCCCAGGGATAGCCACCAAAACCCCTAGCCACCAAAACCTCTTCCAATAAAGGAAGCATCTTGTTCGATACAATGCTGAAAAGATACGGCAAGCTCCCTGAAGCACCATATAGAAAACTTTCAGATGAGAAGTGGTCAGGATCATAATGTTTGAAACAGGAGAGAACAATTAAATTATTAACAGGCCCTCAGATTTCTTCTAGCATGATACATTGCTCTGGCCAAAATACAACACTGATGCAGCACACTACTGCAGACACACTGATTATTTTTGCATCCCCTTTATCACCGGCAGAATTATTTATTAGCTTTCTTTTCAAATAGCAACGCCCAGTCCCGAGCGGTTGGGTGATGTAGTGCGGAGAGAAGATTTTTCAGAAGTCCCCTAGACTCTCTCCCGCGTTCGTCATACAAGGTGGGGCTTCATTCTGCCCCCTAGCAGCGGCCCTTCGGGGGGGTAGTGCCTCCCCCCGGGGCTTTCCCTGGGGCCGGCAGGAGCGAGGCGAGGTTCTCGGGAAGGGAGAATCCTGCATTCGAAATAACCGCTGCGGCTTTCGGTTTGCTTGGCTTCCCGCCCCGCCCGGGGACAGTTTGTTAATTAGCTGTTAATTCCTGGGGGCTGAGGCGGCGGGGCGGGAAAGGTTAGTGCAGCGGGGGGGGGGGGGGGGGGGGGGGGGCTCCCCCCACTCCCCCTCCGGGCTGTCGGGGCGGGCGCGGAGCGGGAAGGCTTCGGCCCCCGGGGGGGGGGGGGGAAGGAAGGAAGGAGGGGGAAGAAGAAGAGGAAGAAGAAGAGGAAGAGTGACTGCGGCTCCAGCTGAAAGTCAGTCCGAGAAGATACACTCATTGCTGGGGGGGGGGGGGGGGGGGGAAGAGGGAGCAGGGCTTTAGCTTTCTTGACGTGAGTCTCTCCTCCCCCTGGAAGGCTTCGGTATAAATCGAGGAGGAATTTCAGCAGGCTCGAGCCAAATAACATTTTTCTGTAAACACACAACGTGCTTCCTCTTATGTTTTCTCTTGCAGATAGGGCTCAGCTGAAACAAGCCCTCCTCGTTATCGTAAACACCAGCCGAAGCTATCGAGACGCTGCCAACAGCAGCCTGGGCGCCCCGCTAAGAAGCGACAAAGTTCTGTCCTCTCGTCTCGGGTGGTTTAAATACCTGTCCTACTGATAAGTGGTAAGTGAACAACCTCGCTTTTTAAGTTGTAGGTAGCTCCGTAAGCTGTGGCATAGGCTGAGAGGATCGCCTGGATGGTTCCTGAACCCACAGGGCTGGGTAGGACGAAGGGGCTAGTTCCCGAGTTTCCTGGCGTTTCTGCCATGAGACATCTTCTTGCCACGCTCTTGCGTTATTTCAGACGGGAAAGCTTCCAGCTAGCCTCATGTCGAGTCTATGCATGCTTCCAATTTTAAAAGCTGCTTCAGCTAAGTACGGATGGCAGCAGCTGCCAGCAGCATTGCTGCTCAATGTAAATTGCCACATATTCAAAGGCAGCGCTGGCTACTCCGATACATCAGCGTGTTCCTCGGTGAAAACATTCAAGGAATTAATTGAATTTCCAGAGGGATGACGCTTGCCTCTACAAGCCTCCTTTGAAGCGAATACCATTTTAATCGGCTTGAGGGCCGGTGAGTTGAGATGTCCCAGACCTTTCCCAGAGGTTCCTGGGAACTTCCTGGCAAAAAAAAAAAAAAAAAACAAACCCAAAACCCAAACTAAAAACCCCTAACGTCGCGGCGTGGCAGGGACCCGGTTGCCGGTGGGGATGAGGCTGACAGAAGCGGAGCTGCCGCCGCCCGGCTCGCCGGCTGCACTGGGATGCGCTTGATGCCGCAGGCAGGCGGCCGGTGCCGGGGACCGCCGGCGCCGGGGGGCAGGCCGGGCTGAGGGGCTGCCCGGGGCCGGAGAAGGGCCCCCCCGGGGGGGGCCGCTCCCCCACGGGCGGCGGGAGCAGCCGCGGGGAACGGGGCCTCTCACCGGCCGCCGCCGGGGAGCGCGGAGGGAAGCCAGGTAGGCGGCCCGGGGGGGGGGGGGGCTCCGGGCCGGGCGGGGGGGGGAGAGGTGGGGACGGGAAAGGAAGGGAAGGGGCCGTCCCCGTTCCCCCGGCGGCCCCTGCCGGCCGCGGGGCGGGGGGAGCCGCTCGCCTCTCCCCGGCCTCCCGGAGCAGCCCCGCCGCTGGGCCGGGGCGGCAGACGGAGCCGCGGAGCCGGCCTCAGCCCCGCAGCCGCTTTGGGGGCCCCCCCCGCGGGCGGTGAGTCGCGGTGGGATAAGGGGCGGTGAGGGGGGTGCCGGCCGGGGCAGGGCAAGGCAAGGCGGGAGGGAAAGCGGGCTTCAGCGGGGGGGAGCCTGGCGGCGGTCCCTAAGCAAAAATTGAGGGGAGACTCGTGGCTTCTGCGGAGCTGCTCGGGGTCTGGTGATCCCACCGTGTTGCCATGGCTGCCGGTCGGGCGGGCTCCGGTAAAGGGTTGCCTGTTCGCGGGGGTACCGAAGGGGAGGGACTGCCCCTGGGGAATGCCGAAGGCCTAGGGGAAGGAACAATGGCTCTGTGGGTAGGCTCTGCCTTAAGCTACGCAAATCCATTACTCGTAGTTTAGGGAAGAAACAAACCCTGGAAGTTTTATGTTCTCTGCGTTTTTGAAAAGTCTTTGGATTGTTATTTACCAGCGGGGGTGGCGTTTCTATTTTAGTGATTGCAAGCTGTGGGAGCAGTCCTGCCGTCCTTTCTCAAATTAAAATTTCCAGTGAGATGAACAGCTGATCTATTGGGATTTATGTCCGTTGCGCTTCTGTTACCCAACTGAAACGTTCTGCCCAGGTTTCTTCAGTCTTTGTCTCTCTCTTCTTCACCCACTTTATGCTGAGCTATTCTCACATACAGCGTGGTTACAAAACTATTTAGAAGGGATCAGCTTTGCAATGGGATGAGATTACTTGTTTTAACCTGTCAATTCTGTTGCAGCTGAACTGTGTAAAAATGTTATACGTTAAACTATGTAACTTCTACTGTGGAGAATGCCATGGTACTAGACTGGTCACTCCTAAACTTAAAAAACTAAGTCTAGGGAGGGCTTTTAAAGGAAAAGGAAATGTGTATGGAGCAAGGCTTCCTACCTATCCGTTTCTGAGTAGAAAATATTCCTATCTGATTAAGGTCACGGAAGTGATATTTCTGAAACTAAAATAACTTTCCTTCTATATGTAAAATTGCACCAGCCACATCCTCTTCTTTCTTCCCACCTACATGGAATATATCTACGGATCTGTCTTCCCAGCTTGATGCAGTACCTGCTGCTTTAGCATGTCTGTTTCTCTGCTGAACTGAAACAGAGTCAATTAAGTTACTCTTAAGATTACAGCTCTTTATTGAAGCAGCAGTATTAAAGGTGGGTAAGTCCCATGGTCCTCCTGAGGGTCATCTTGGCTGTAGGGGACCTCTCCTGCTTGTGGGATGTATGAATCATCCCCTCAAAACTCATGGGACTCTCAGTGGCCAAATACCCCCCTGTTCAAAACCAGGAGGAAAGCTTCGATGTAGAAGCAGTTGCCTGTTGGGGAAATGCCCATGGGAGCAGCCGCAGCAGAGTGTGTAGGCAGGACAGCAGTACCTGAAAGCTGGCAGGCAAGGGCCTGAGTCCGAAGTCTAAAGAAGCAGGGGAATAGGTTGGTTATGGCAATTTGGCTAGACAGGGTGATTGGCGAGAAGTTATTTTGATAAGTACTGTGTGTGCTGCTAAATAATGGCTTTAGCAATTAGGCAGGGGAGTTGCCTCACTGAGGGAGATACATCAGCCGCGGTGGTGATGGGCCTCATTCATAGTGGCAAGGCCTTGAGGTGCTTCTCCTTCACTACCACCTCAGAGCTTTGAAAGCTTACAAGCAGAGACAGTTTTAGAGGATTGCTTTCTTCCTTGTGTGATCATTTTTTGGATAGAAGGCAGCAGGGGGTGGGACTAGTCTTTCTTATGATAGCTTCTTTGTGTCATTAACACTTCTATCCTTGTCTGGTTTTCATTGTTAGTTTCTGGGCACACCACGATTAGTGCCTTTCAGTAAATGTGAAAGTTCTCATAAACCTGTTTTGTTTGATTTGTGCTTTTCTGCTTCTTGTGTATTGCTTCATATGCTGCTGTGGGTTTGTTCAAGTATTTTGATCTGGAAGAGGATGCAGTCAGATGGGTCATTTGAAGATATAACTTGTAAGACCACCAAGAGTCTCCATGAGGCAGTCTACAACATTGACTCAAAGGGGCTTGTGGGGAAAGGTTTTCATTTTTTTCCTCCACGGTATAGGTTGAACTGTAGCACAGGTTCTTGGTTTGTCTGTCTTTGTACCGTAACATTAAGGTTATTTTACTTATAAGCGTGAAAGGTTGGTCATACTGTTTGTGTGATGTGAGGTACTCTGATGTGGCTCCCTAGTTAGGTGTGTTTTAGGAACAGGCTTAAGATTACTTGTAATATCTCTTTTAACAGATACCTTTCCTGACAGATGCTCTCACTGTTTTAGCTAAATTGGTTGAAATGTGCACTGGGCACTTAAGAGGAGTTTGATTTATCAAACTTATGACAACTCATTTGTCACTTACCTGGATAGTTTGTTTATCAATTTTTCTAGCCTTATAGAGAAGCTAGTAAATAATATCAGGAAGTTAACTTATGGGGTACCTGACGGTACAGGGTTTTTTATTTTTTGGAGTCTCTATTTTCTACCATCTATTTACTCAAAGAACCAAGAGCTTTGTAGCAGAATAAAAACCCCCTGAACTTCCCCATTAATCCACTTTCTACTTCCAGTTTTGCAATGTTACATATGACTACTTCTGTACCTATTCATAGTCTTCAAGAGAAATGAAAATAAACCTTTTTCCATTTATTTATTTAATTACTTGGTGTGTGAACTTATTGAAGTGTTAAATCCTTTTATTCTTCTGATACAGCAGAAGAACCTAAAACTTTTCAGTTTTTCTTGAGGTGGTGAGGAAAATGTGATGTGCAAGCTGTTGTTTCCTTTACAAGTCACCTGTCAGTAGTGTGTGGAAATGATTTTGCTCTCACTTTACGGCTCAGTGTATTAATCACTGATATCAGTAGCTTCTATTTGTACAGAAACGTTGAAAAGTGATGGGCAGCATTAGCTAGTGTGTGCTATGAAGCTTGTGTTGCGGTATCACTACCTTTTGAAAAATGCATTGAACAAATGCAAGTGCAGAATGTGATAAAATACTTCGCTGCTGTGCTTCTTGCTATGTTCTGTACCTGTCGTCTGAAAATATCACATCCTTTGTAAGTTCATTTTGTTCAGGTGAGGTGGCTTTTCAGTGCTCAAAGATGGTCATTCTTCGGTCAAAGGCAAAAGTGAAGCCACGGTATCTCAAGAGGAAGACCCTTTACAGCACAGCAACAGAGCAAGCAATTTTGAAGCATGCCCTGGGTAACACCCAAAGTTTGCTTGTAACTGTTCAGCATTGCCTCTGCTCCCAGGCCTGGCATCAGGAGTAAAGCACATCTGTGGGGAGCCCGGAGGAGCAAGGAAAAAACTTGAATAGCCCCCCTTTACCCTGGCTGGGAAGGGAAGGCTGGAAAACTTGAGGAGCCACAAAGCTGATGCTCCCTCCTGTTAGGAGGGCAGGAATGGAGTCATCAAGGAACTGGTTTTAAGAGCAGACAGGAATGAAGTTCAGACTTAATCACTGAAGCTCTTCTTAACATTTCTTGATTTACAGTCCGTTCTCCTAGCAGGAATATTGCGTTCTTCTGGCCCGCATCTATTTCTGAGGTGGGTGGCTAGCAGTCTTAGATTTCCACAGACTGTTCAACTTTTAAAAGAACAGTTTCTAGCCCTTGTGGGTACAGGTTAGAAATGCTAAAATAAGGATCAGCTGCTGCAGAGCTCAGAAAACCTCTTTGTTAGACTGGATCTGCAGAGTGACACTTTTGCAGCACAGAGGTAGCTGGCTGCTGCTTTACTTCACTGCTGCTGCTCAGAGTCCTGTGGCCAGCAGTGAAATGAGAACAGTGTGAGGGTCATCAGCTTACCTGGAGTCTTAGCAGAAGTAGGCTGAGGAAATATGCATTTGTAATGGACGTTTAAGAGTCAATGGAAAATTTGTGTGTGTAAAATACAAATAATATCTCATGTGGGATGGGGGAGGAGGACTCCCTTACCCTGGGTAAGA